GAAGGAGACGACAGTGGGAGAATTGGGATGGTCATACGTATAAACCTGATTACACACGGGATTTATTATCGTTGCACCTTCTCGCAAAAATAATAAAACATCAAAATTTCTTATATAAAAACGTATTACCTCACTTTACATTTTATGATTCTCATAAGGAATAGTGTTGCAGTTTCTCATTTAAACAACCCCGCACTTGTACGAAAGCAATCTCAATTAAAACGTATTCGGAATAAGTAAAATTCCACTGTGGTTCTTTATTGTTACCACTTATGCTGCTACAACCACACTGTTACTGACGTTACACATAAATGTAAGCCAGGCGGACCAACTACTATATTCACATGACACCAGTATGCAATTGAAGTCGTCCGTCTATACCAAAGGTTCCCAACCTTTTTCTATAATCGAACCATAAATTTTATATATTGTAATGTAAAAAAATCGTCAATTTTACAACTTTTTTTATATAATAATTATTTTAATTTAGCGTAAATAATAATCACTTTAATTGAATTTTTTCTAGTATTACTATCTTAATCACGGCCTTCTTATATATTTAATTGATTTTTTGTTTGCTTTTTTTGTAATAACAACTAAAAATTAGGATAATCTAAAAACAATGCTTCCTAGATATTTGTTAATCTGATGTACTTTTAAGGAAGGATTTGGTACAATTAATGCAAATAAAATATCCTAGTTCAAATATATACTTCATTGTCAATGGTGCACCTAATAAACGCATAGTGTTGTACAGTATATAATTAAGGAATAGGTTGCTTGAAGAACTACTCCTGCCAGTTTCGGAATGTAGCTTAAAGGAAACCAGCAGCAGAAAATAACTGGCCTTTGCTGAAGGCTGACTTTCCATGTACAGATGATTTAATTAAATCCAAACAAAGTCTAAATGCAGGAATTGGGTTTTGGTGGAAGCTGAGAGAGAGAGAGATGATGATGAGGCTTGTGTAAAACGAAACACGCTGGAGATGCTTAGAGTCAGTGTGCACGGCTTACGCAAAGTTATATGACTTGTTCGTGGGGTTGCGATGAGGGGATGAGCGAAGGCGGCATCGGCGTGCGGTTACACAGTTTTGTCAAACTGTCGACGCCCTGCATGGCGCAACATTCATTACATTTCGCGAACCAACGTAGGCTTCGAGTCTTCAATTAAAAAAAAAAGAGGGAAGAACAAGACAATGGGGGAACGGTTTACCCTCGTTCCTTCGGTCTTCCTGGCACCGATCGTCCTCGCAAATTAATTGAAACAACTAATTATAGCGAAATAGTAAATTACATGCACGTACAAACATAGCGACGCATAAATCAGCCCCAATCGTGAACGCCACATCTCGTCCGTAACACCACCTTACCACACACAAAGACCACATAATCTAACAATAATTAATTTAATTGAATGTACTTTCTGCTTATATTGTAAACATTAACTATGTGTTCTCTCTTTATTAAACTATGTTATAGGACTAATTATGTCGAATATATCGAGTCTTTACTTACACATAAATAACATATTCATTTATATTAAAATATAACAAAAAACACTTGAAATCTAACTTAAACTTACTTATTAATCAAATTATAAATAGTAATTTATTTAAATATAAATATAAAATTCAATTTTTATATACCTAATGATATTGAATCGAAATAGATATCATTTTCTTGTAATGCTTGTAATAACGCAGCTTAAAATTAAACATTCACTGTAGATTGTAAAAAAGTATTTTCTAATATTAATTAGTTACTTCCCACAAAAAATCTAATATTCAAATCGGAGAAAAACGTGAATACTGTAAACCTTTCGAAACTTCGGAACTGGTTTTTTGATTACTGTTATAACTTACAGTCTCTAACTTACAGTACTAATGAGGAGATGCAACTGCAGGACCAGCCAGTCTCGAATCACCTCGCAGTCAAAACACGCTTTCCTGATATACACGAGAAAATTATTGGTATCGCGCACTAAATAGTAGAGTCCATACATTCCTCCAAAAGAATGCATTAATAAAATCGTATATTGTCATGAAACAAAGAAAAGTAAAAGTTAGATCAAAATAGAATCAATTACTACAAAGGTGTGCAAAATTAAAGAGATGTCATTCGGTAAGTCATTATGAAATTATAAATAAGAATATTTTCATAATTAAAAAATCTAATCTAAAATTTCGATAATACTTGGATTATACAAAATTCCCACTATCCATCCATCAGTTTTTAAGTAAAATAGTCAATAACAGTCAATTTTTAACTCTCTGTTCGATATTTCGATATTTTGTAACTCCGTTAAATATATAATTGATTATATTGAGGAAAATATATAAGGTATTTTTATTTTATAAAAATGTAAAAAAAAATATCTTCATCATCACTACTACCGTATGTTTCCGATTGTTTGTCTTTGTCAGATTCCATTTCTAATTTTCGTAAAATCTCAGCGTCAGGTTAATTTTCTATATAAAAATCTTGTTTTAGATACCTCTATAAACGATAATTAATTTAATTAAAACTTAGCCTAATTAAAAAAAATGATAGAGTAAAACCACTATTCCCGTGGCGTCTGATAAAATCTGCTAAGAATGTTTAGCTGTTAATTCTTCAAGACATTACTCAAAATCATCAGTCAGCATGAAGAAAAGGAACATAAGTACCTTTTCAGTTTTAAAAGTTATGATTGGTAATGTACCCAATGGTTAAGTAGAAACAACTAGCCCCTGCTATATATTAACAACAAATTTAAAAATTCAATAAACCGCGCCTTACAAAACAGCGCCACCATTGATAAAGTCAATAACTAGAATTGAATAAAAATCCTTGCATTGCATTAGCATTGTGAGAAAATACTGTGTGAGTATATTATAATAATATTAAAAGCATTAAATGCATCAAGTAAAGTTACAAATTACATTTTAAAAAAAAGTTACTGTAAGTGACATCTATTATGAAGTATTAAAACTATAAATAATGATTTTTCCCGCCATAATCTGTAAATCTATATATAACCTATAAACTTATTGTATTTTAGAAGCCATCTATAAAGCAGTAGCATATTGTAATAACCAGCTATAAAACTAGAATGCGGTAGATGTTTATTTGAAAACACAAACTTGTTTAGTTCCGTTACTGTTTTGTGTGTTCGCTGAAACTCGTAGTCGAGCACGTTGCCTTAACTTCAAAGAGCATTAACGATTCAACATTCGTCAGACATGAGCGAAATCGAGCCAGATCAGTTTGAAAATGAAGTTCATATGTTCAAGGAGCAACTCTTCAATTTGGACAGCGAGATCGTTGATGCTGTCGTCTGGTAAGTTAATGTAATGTCAATGCCCTATTCTCAGCCTTTTTTTTTCTATAATTCTTGTTTGAAAAAAAGAAACTTATATTTTTTAATAATTATTTATGTACAATTCTACTTTCACATTCAGATATAGAAGTTTGAATAGCTTATCAAAAATAAACAGTTTGCAGGAAGAGAATGTGATAAAGAGTTGTATTGAATTACGCCAACTAAAGACTTTCTTTGTGTCAGATCTTTAGCCAGAAACAGTGGTGGCAAACCTTCGTTCATTTAGTTACAGATGAACTCCTGATTTTAGACTGTGACATTTGCAAATATGTTCATATTTTTAATCATATTGCACACGTCCCGGCCTGATATCGAGTTTTTTAGAAACATCAACATATATAATTTATTTATGAATGATATCATACCAAAACGATACTACATTTTTTTTCTATTTTTCCAGTGGTAATAATAAAAAATTGAATAACATTATTGATTCCATCAAAATGGAATTTCACTATAGATACATGGATCTTGTAACAACAACCTACACAGAATTAATGAAAAAAGTTCAGGTGATTTCTGAAAGGTACAAGATGAGCAAACGAAATGGAAAAGCATTGTGAGTTCTTTTTTTTAGTAAATTTATATTTTTATATTTAATGTATTCATATTTTGTTTTTCTAGCAGGAGACCAAACACTGGGCAACTAGATGTAAAACCCTATAAGGAAATCAATTTGAAGCACAAAAAGTCTATGTTAGAGTCATTGATTGCAAAACAGGAAGAAGAAATTGAACTCTTGAAGAAGGAAATAACAATACAAAGGAATGGAATGGATCAACTTGCAAAAGCTATGCACAATCAAAGTTATTTGAATAATCATCAGTCTCTGATTTGATTTTTTTCTGGTTTTGTAAGATTTCTTCTAATTTCTCTGAAAGAACTTTCTTTTTGCATAAAAGTTCCTGTATTTTTGTATTATTACTTAAAGTAGCAGTTGGTAAATCTTTAGTTGCTTCAAATTGGAATGTTCTACTTTCATGTAATGCCTCTTTCAATATGGCAAAGTTGTTCATTTTCATTTTTAGCTCTTCAATCTTCCAAACCAACATTTCTTTTTCTTTCACATTGTACTGAAATTAATAAATATGTATGATATTTTGTATAAATCTGCTCGTGATTTCTTTTTACCAATGCCCTGTTTTTGTAGAATATCAGCTTTTTGTTGGTGCGTGCGTTTGTACATTTCAAATTCTCTACTTCTTTTGACAATCTGACTTTTTCAATGAGTATTGTAGAATGCTGTGTTTTAGCTTAAAAAATACAGTTGAAACTAACTCAGCGAAATTTTATTTGTTGTGTTCTTCAAACCTTTTTCTAATGCAAGCTTCAAATTCCTCAAGTCTTCTTTTGCAGCATTCACATCAAGTGTATTCATTTCATCTGCCATTTTTCACTATCACTATAGTTGCAAGCGATACTCACAGGATGGCGTTTGTTACAAAGGAGAAGGCAGGTATCTTCTTTGGACCTGTGATCCTCTTCGTAAGGGGTCGGTTAAATGCGCGTTCGTTATAGATGTCCTAGGCCTGCGCGTTTCTCTTCATCCATTATTCAGCTGTTTGGCTTCCCAGCCACTGGCGCCATTGCTGTTTGTTGCCGTTAAATTTTTGGTGTTTTGTTATTTTTTTCGTATCAAGTTGAGGAGAATTTCGGTCTAAAACTGAGCGCATCCAGGGCCTTTCCACGGTAAGTCAAAATTCCTATTTTCTTTAAGCGTCAAGCGTGAGTTTTCTCAGAGTTCAACGATGAATGATTTCATGCCCGGCGAAACGCGTTTATTGTACCCTCTAATGGAGACGCCACTCGTGGTGGAGAATATTAAGAATCATCGAAAAAAGCAATCCAATAGTGCCTGAAAGCTATATGCTAGGTTTAACAAAACTTTAGTATCTATAAATCTTCAAATATATTCAATTTGTTTTAGCACGACGCTTGTTTCTATTGTTTAATTATTTTCTTTTGGTGGGAAAATCGAATTTTCTTTCGTTCCCATTGCGTTTTCATTATCCATTATATTCACAGCATTTCCGAGTTGCATAATCAGCAAGTAACAGGTCGCGCGAGTTTAATCAATAATCGAATTAATCCAATTTGGATGGCTCCCCCGGTCGACCACAAAGTTTTATTTAATCACGAGCCTCATGCATTCCCATAACTGTAGCAACTATGCAAATATTCGCTGCACGGAATCCAAGCGTTGGGACGCCGAGGGACGTTGGTCACTGTAATTAACTAGGAAGACGATGCTCTCGTAAAGGACATGAATTTATAAAATGTTTAGTTTTCATTTATATTTTCATATGAAATGAACCGTGGCGGATGTAATTCTCGAAACAGTTGTATAAAACACGATGCGTCTGCAAACATTACTTTAACCTATTCCGACAAGTATGAACTTATTAACATTCTTTACAGAACTAAATACACGACAAGAATATTTTTTACAAAACTGAAGAACCTCGTGGTTAATGATTATTTAAGAGAAAGAAAATTTATCACAAACCATGTTATGAAACTATTTAATTGAAAAAGTATTTGTACTAGTTGCAATATCCGTTGTTTCGTTTATTTTTCATTAAGGCATAAAATGTTTTTAATAAAATATATTTTAATATTTCATTGGTTTATGTTTTGTTATTTTATTACTGTTGCACTAAATATTATTATCAACTACCAAATATAATAATATTTGACATTCAAATAAAAGTAAAACAAAATGCAACTTTTCTAAACAGTGGTTCCTGTTTAGACAACTTGCAGAAAATGTTGACTTGCCACGGAGATTCTTAATACTTAAAAAAAAATCAAATCTCAAAATTCGATTTTAATAGATTTCAAAATTTATTGTGCAATGTAGAAAACGAATATAATGAGTTGCAACAAATGCCAAATGCAAGTGGTTTGTTTCACGCTATATCCGGTATTATTATTTCTCATATTTTGAAGTAGGTTATATGAAGATCGTTATATTGCGATGTAATATTATTGTTTTGTTAATTGCACAATCAACACCGATGTAATTGATGCATACCTAATTTTTTTGTATAATAATATTTTGTATATATTATGAATGTGCCAAATGTTATTTGATGAATATAATAAAATGATTTCGAAACGAAATGTATCTTGGATATGTGATAATCTCAAATAATAAAGCGTTTTTCTTGTGTACGTTTGCATGGTGATGGGCAGCAATAAAAATGGTAAGAAATCGTCTGAGCTATAAAGTTCATCGATAAAACGTAAAATTTATAGTGGTTATATTTTGATTCCTTATCTATAAATGGAAATGGCAAGTAGAATATTTAGAGGATGCGCAGACTGTCTGAAATTAATTGAAACGTCTTTGCTTAACAGTTCAGAAAAATAGTACTTTTGTTTATGAACAATGAGTAAACAAACGCAGGTGCTGAGCGTTACGGTAGATTTGCCGCTTTGATTTTTATGCTCCACGACAATCAAGCTGTGTAATTTGCTGTAAGAAATGCGATAAATCAAACATTGCTAACTGCAATTACTTTTATTACTGTCTTCTGTTCATTTGCGTTCGTGCAATGCAAATTACGGATTAATTAAATCGGCGTTGTTTTCTATTCAAACTTGGATGGTTTGCAGGCAGCATCGCGCAATTCTCATTCGAGCAGCAAATTGATATGCATTTCCATCCATTACTTAAACGCCATGGGTATCATATATTAATTTCAGTGCTTACAATTTCATACTTGACGGAAATTATTTAATTATTACAATTGATTATTAAGTTTATTTGCTAATTAGATAAGCATCAAAATGTTGGCAGAAATAAAGTTGAATGAATCAAAATAGAATATAAATATTTATATATATTACGAAGGTCGAGGTTAAACCCAATTTTAAAAACGATGACCAAAAGTGTAAGTTTACATCTTCCGCCTATGTATTTTTTTTTGGTAGTCTGTTAGGTGTCCGATTTACATAATACTGCACGAAGAATGCAGGCGGCCTTCGCCTCTATTAATTAACTAATCTTCGCGAAGAGAAACAAACGTGGCGTACTTTCGATTTCGAACGAACAAAAGAAACACAGCAACAACAAAAAAAGAAGCATGCACGTCCGATGATGATGTTTGTTTTGTTTCGTTCCTTCTGCGCAGCTCGTGAAGGTTGTTGTGATCTCGAGAACTGGTTTCGCGTTAGCTGTAACGCACATTCCCCGATACAGAGTGTTGCATAACTGGAGCACGTTTTTGTATATTAAGTGAAGTAAATTGTTGCAGGAAGTGCATGTGCATTACGTAATTCTGATTAAATGTATGCAGTATTACTCCATCTATCTCGCTTACAGTATAGATTCGCTTCGACGTAACGATTAATTTGAAACATTGATGGATAATGGGATAATGCATTTTTTATTGTATTTGTATCTAGTGTCCCTTTTGTTGCTTGGAAACCAACTCGATACTACACACATGCACTAATCCTAGCAACCCACCCTTCACATCCACAGCCTGTCAAATCTATATACAATTACACAAGCGTTTTTGTTTTCAAATAAGTTCTTAAAAATAATAATAGTATTTATTTACACTTTTTACTTAGGCTATCGACCTAAACCTTAATCTGTCTGAAATAATAATTTAATGCTTGTTTTTTTTTCTTGAAATCGAAATTTGTACTTAATATTTCAAACAATGACATAATGAAGTTCTTTAATAATCCAAATCACATGAATGATACAAATGAAGAAAATTAGTTTTTATAAAAATCATGTATTTTTTAGTTTGTCCTTGCAGCGAGATTTATAATATTACCTTTCTAAAATTAGTTATAATATCTTCTGCAATCTTTTCGATTAACGCATTTTTAATATTTAAAAATATACTCAAATATTGTAGATAAATTTATTTTCATTGATGAACAACGAGCACGATCTGTATCTAGACAGTTATAGTTATTATATACGTTTATTAGTATAATAGCAATTTGCAACTGTTATAGACCAATATCAATATCCATTTTTATTCTGTTTTCATTTCTATAACTTTAAAGTTTTCTAAAACAAAACATTAAATACAATAACATTTTATAAAATATGGTTGTAATTTACGATACCAACTTTTGTTTCAACTTAAAATACTTGTTTTTTGTTGTTGTTGTAAAAGATATTTTAAAAGACAATAGTATGAACTGAGTTTAAATTAAAGTTTTTTAAATTGATTGAAATTAATAATTCGTTTTGAAATCTCGACGAAGGCAATCCTCTTGGGCACCTTTGCTGTTGGTGCAGAGTACTTTTGAGAATTTAATGAGCTCTTCGGCTAATTAACAAATTAAATATGAATATTAGCGCTGAAACGAATTTCAATTTGCCGCCTCCGCTCTCGCCGACGCCTAATTACTTGTAATTTTAATCGGCGTCTGTTGAAGGCGACAATCAATCAATTTTATCATGCACGAACTAATTTCAGTAATTACCTTTAAGTGAAGCTTATTTATTAATGATTTTAGCTGTAGAAACACCCGTGCAATGCACACTATTACCGTACAAAATTATTTGTGCCGTGCAAAAAAGAAATCATGAAAAATAAATATAGAGCCTTTTCAGAAAAGAGACTAATGAGTGAATTATTTGCCTCTTTAGTTTCAATTATTTTAGCTCTTTATATACAAAAAAAAATAGTCGGGTGGAACGGGATTTGGATTGTACAGTTAATTAAAGTTACCTAATAAAGAATGCATACAGTGGGAACTACCAAACCGTTTGCATGTCTCCACCAGAAAACTGGAACTAGAATCTGCAATATTGATGAGGGAACGGACCGTAAGGTGTCTCTCATCGAAGTTGCGTGACGTGGAAAGCCAAAGCTATATTACACGTACCCAGAAAAGTTAACAAAAAAAGTACAGGGCAGAAAAAGGATGATGATGAAGGATGAAAAGGAAAAGCGAACCGCCGATAATAATGAGAAAATGATATAGGGGTTACGTGCATAACCGGTGTGTACTTCTCGGTGCTATCTATAATTCAAAGTGGAACTCGAATTTCTCAAAACACATGCTCGGAAATAATTCAGGCCATGTATTTTTTAAAAGTTCGATAATAATTGAACGTATGATTGCACCGCATATACATGTCCAGTGCAAATAGTGTTTCATTATAATAATGTTTATATCTAACAATAAAAATGTTTGAAGACACGAACGAGATATCGATGCATTAATATGTAACTCACACGGTCTTTTTCTAACGTAAACCGGATACGCGATGTCGAATTGTCTAAGAGGAAGGAAGCAGGAACAGCAAATTATGAATTTAAATCTTCATGTTTAAATTTAAAAAAATATTTTTTTTTAACTGAAATAACTAAATTCTACCATTATTAATTTAAATAATTATTCTTTCGTACATAATTATATCTGTCAGTTTCTACTGGCTTTACTTGGTTGACATTTGTAAAATTATTTTGCAATATTTTAATCTACGTCAGAAAAACATATGATCATCAACTCTTACTATTGTATATGCAACGACTTTTTTTTCTAACATTGAAAAGTTATTTGCATTTTTTCTAAATAAATAATGATTATTTTATATCTACATGAATAATTGTATACATATGAAACAGACGGTTTTCTCTTTTATGAATTTATGTGTTTCATTCATCAGGGAAATGTCAATTAATTTCTCATATAAATTTTATAATTTA